GGGGGTAGTATGTTGATTTCAAAAGAATTCTCTTCTCTTTCTGAAGACAACTGATGGGAGTCACAAAAGTCGAACTCGACCTTTCTCCAGAACAGCGAATCGAATTAATTACGCAGAGTTGATATAATCAATTAATGCTGTTTGCCAGACCTTGTTCCTGGTTTACTTCCATGGGTCAATGTTATTAATCCCTAGTTGTTGTAGAGGTTGTTTTGTCGGTGCATAGAGGGCGTACATGGTGGATTTCATTACAATATCCTCCTTTCTTTACTTAGTGGCCTTTAATTTTAATAATAATAGATAGCATTTGTATAGCGCAAATCCCCGCTCAACAACAAGCTATATGCGCTTCACAATCTATACTATTACCCCAGCAGACCTGAGAGCTTTCTGAAACAAACTCAATTTTCTGGGAAGCATACAGTGCAAGCAGCCATTTATAGGCGTTAAAACATTAACATACTGACGAGATCTTTCGCTGTCAATGGCCGGGTACCCATTTCCACCTGGGTGAAGTGGGGAAAATTCGTGTAAAGTGCCTTTCCAAAGGACACAACATCGGGCCCGCGGCTCGATCCCCCGACCCCGCTACCTCACGATTACGAGTCCGGTAGCCTAACCCCTAGGCCACCGACGCCACTTAATGTGCTTCTTTAAAAAATGGTCTACCATTTGACAGAGCACTAAAAATATTCCCCGGGCTTCCAATATTTTAAACCTGACTTCAAGGGGCTCTCGTGGCCTAGAGGTCAAGGTGTTGGCGTCTCATTCAAAGTCCCGGGTTCGAATCCGGGTACCGACCGAAAAATTTTCTTCTCCAAAATTGTCTCCTTTCACCTGCTTTCCTGCTCTCTAGAAATGTTCTGTCGTCTGCTTTCGTCTCCTCTTTCTGCCCCCACACCCCCTCACCTCCTTTGCCCCCTCCACTGGGCCCCTGACATCTGCAGCCTTTCTACTGCAACTCCTTGGCTCCTTCTTACTGCTGTCTTTCAACCACACCCCTGATCTTCTGGTAGGAAAGATCTACACCTAGCCTTCTCAGACCAGGACAAAAAATCTCGGAGGTCCCATGTGCAACTTGCGCACGTTAAAGATCCCTTGGTGGTCTAAAATCGATAAGAGTAGGCTTCGGCCGCCACCCGGGCAAAAATTCAAAATTTCTTTCCAA